TGGTCCGTGTTCAGCACCTGGAGAAGAGTTATCTTGGAAGAGATTAGTGTTTCCTAGAGACTATCATTCTAGGTTTGATGAAACACTTTCTCCCCATCTGCAGCCAGCATCTGGGAAGGATTTATCTTGGGAGAAATGAAAGCTTATCAATGTATGGCTTCCTTTCTTATTCCCTTTTCCCAGGCCACACTATCTTGGGGTTTTTCATTTTCCACATCCAATAGCTACCACAATCACAAACATTAGACAGAAGTGAACACAGAAGTCATCTTTCAAGTTCAAGAAACCTCTGCACACTCTGTGTTTGAAATAGAGAGTGGTAACTGCTGAAAAGGGCTCCATTCAAAGCCTTCCACCAGGCTACCGCCATTTGTGTTTTAAACCTCTTGTCCTCTGGTTGCTCATTTGGAGCCTCCACTCCTTGCTCATTGTCAATGTGACCGACTCATTGCAGACTCAGGGCCTGCTTTCAGCGCTCTATTCCGTCACCCTCCTCCCAGCCTGGCCACATGGTTCTCACCTATCAAGCACCAGACCCAGGCCTCACATCTTTCACGAAGCCTTCTATTCTGGCCTCTAGGTGCTTTCTTCTCTTCAACTCTGCAGTACTGCAGTGAAAGAATTCTCTTGCATTTATGTCTGCCGCGGCCATGTTGCCAATAGTGGACGAGTTTTCCTTTGACTCCAGTATTAGACAGACCAACAAACCTGCCTCTCCCTCACTCCTGATCCTTCGTCAGCTGTTGCTACTTGTCTGAAGGGAAGGCGGGCTCAGAGTGGAAGCCTGAGCCATAATTGGCAGGAAGTGTTTGGGCTTTTCATTTTTGTTTTAACCTTCAAAAGTTGGTTAATATATAAAAGGCAAATTAAACAAGAAAATGGTCTCTGAATAGTTTTGGAATAGTAGCTGTCTTTTTTCTTCAAATAAATAAAAAGTAATTTTTATGTTAATATGAAGTATTTTTAAAACTTATTAATAATATGGCTTCTTTTTCTTGCTTTTTTTTTTT